GGCTATGCTGAGGTATTTTCTTATCTGGGGGATGTTCAAACATTCTAGACCAGGTTATTCCCAGCTTTTTAGTTGTAACTAATCTTCACTGAAGAATGCTTATATTCCTAGTTTGATATTTTACTTTAGAGAATTAATGTGACTATGTCTTTGCTTAATTGTTTAATATGGAGTTTTGGTAGGGGTCTTTTTCCAGAGGCCCTCACCCTACTCTGACTACACCCACGGTCCCTGTCTCACTATTACTTATTCTATCTACTCTAACTATATGCTATTTCTTGTTTTCTTAAAATTCTACATACTTTTATAATGGTCTATGGAAACCATCACTTTAATATGAGATTTAGATATGAGATTTAAGCCTGAGTTAAATAAATCTGGTCTTTTTATATTTGAAAATAAGTCTTAGTTTACAGTATTCTTTTAAAGGAAATTTTGTACTTGTTTAAACTGAAAGTTTAAACAAAACTCATTGTGAACATCTTATTTATACCATCATACTTCACAATGCCCACCAGTGTCTCACATGGTAAGTAGTCCTATTTTGTCAAGATGTACTGAACTGAAGGCTGAGGAAGAGATGGATACATCCTGACACAACTTGGTTCATTGTGTGTAGCACTCAGTAATTGTTCATTCAGTCAACTGACAAAAAGTGGATTATATGTGTGTTCCTTTGCACGATGATTTCAATCATCTTAGAAGTAGATACAGTTATATGATAAGTTAGCTGTAGAGATATGAAAGATTCTTAAGGAAAAGGAGGTCAGAAATAACAACTGGGGAGTGGATGCCAGGTTTCAATAAGAAATGAGAAAGAAAACTACAGATTGACGAGTAGCATCAAGAGGCCTCTTAGGTTGCATGAATCTATCATAGGCCAGATACAAGTGGTTCCACCACACGAATGAAGTGTTGGACTTACTACATAAATGAAGGGAAGGAGTTCTTTACTAGAACCAAACCTATTTCCTATGCATTTATGAGATTTCATAACATTAAAATTATATTTGTTCCTATCATTAGAATAACTATCCACAGTTATGCAATTAACCAAATAAACTTCCTCTCCTAATTTTTTTCCAGGATTTTCTCATTATTGTTTATTCTTTCACTTACAGTGGTTCAAACCTTTACATTTTCCTTATAATCTCATCCTGAAACAGTTAAAATCATTTTCTTATATGCTTGATGCTTTGGGTTATTAATTTCTCTAATGCTCAACACTGTATAGTGTACATATAACATGTACTACATACACACATAATGCAGTACAACCTTTGGAGTTTAGAAAAACCTAACTCTACCATACATCAACTTCATGACAGAGTAATAAATTTAAAATTGCTGACTCACTTTTCTTATCTGTTAAATGGAGGAAATAAAACTACTCTAGATTTGTTGTGAGCTTTTATGTAGAGTGAAAGGGGACCTGCTGGTGAATTTTGAATAAAGAAGTGACAGCTATTTACATTCCAGAAGGATCATTATTAGGCCACTACATGAAGAGGAGAGTGTAAGAGTGAAAAGATAGAAGATGATGACTCACAGTCCAGAAATACTGGCAAGAGTGATAATGAGACAGGTTAGTGTGGTAGCAGTGAAAATTGTGAGAAGTATGAATGTATTTTGGAGCCAAAGGTAACAGAATTCCTGGGTACTGGATATAGGATATGTGTAGGAGACACCAATGATGATGCCAAGTGTTTTGGCCTAAGCAACTGAAACAATAGAACTGACATCAATCTTTGGAGAATGTAACTGCAGAGAAAGATTCAGTTTAGTTTTGGATGTTAAGGTTAAGATTTATTCCAGTTATCTGTTGCTGTTTAATAAACTGCTCCACATATAAGCTTTAAAAAAACAATAATTTATTTGCTCTTGAATTTGTAATTTGGTCAGAGCTTGGCAGAAACAACTCATCTCTTTGGTGACACCAAAGCTGGAGTGACCTTACAGCTGGTGTCTGCTATCATGCAAAGGTTCCCTCACTCAATATGTCTAGCAATCGGTGCTGTCTGTCAGCTGAGACCTTGGTTAGGGTTGTTGGCTGGAACACGTCTATGTGACCTCTTTATAGGGCTGCTTGGCTTCCTCATAACAGAGCATCTAGCTTCTAAGAGCATCTCAAGAGAACCAAGCTATTTTATCTTCTTTTATGATAGAGCCTCTTAAGTTACATGATATCCTTTCAAATGTATGGAAAAGATGCTCCACTTCTTTCTTTGGTAAAGAGTCAACATCTCATTTTAAGAGGAGCATGTGGGATGACAAATATTGTTGGAATACTCTTGGGTAATGAAGTCTGCCACAGATACAGGAATTAAAATGTTGAACAAGCAGTACATAAAAGTCAAGAGTTTTGGAGTGAGGTCTGGCCTGGGTATAAACATTTTAAAGTCAATAACGTTTAAGCAGATGAGACTATCTAATAAAAAAGAGAATAACATCAAGCATTGAGCCCTGAGGAACTCCCTCAAAGACGTCAAAGGGAAAAAGAGCTAAGGGGGGAGAGTGAGCTGGGATGACTACTGAATTAGAAGGATTGAGAAAGCTGGTTTTCTTCTTGCTCACATTGTCTCCTTGAAATCCCCTCCCTCGATATCTTCCCTACTAATAGAAACTGAGTTTGTTCAGATATTCAGTGTATAATGTTTTGTCTGGGACCTAACTGTAGCTCAGACAATGAAACTCATGTCAAAATATGTCAAGATAATCTTGTCCCTTTGGCTATTGACTGATATAAGGGTGAGCATGTAACCTATTTCTGGCTAAGAGGGAAAAGACAGGGATTACAACCTTTCTCTTCCAAATATAACAATATAGCCTAGCAAGGAAAGATGTTCTGTCCTATCCCCTGCTCCTTCCTTGAGTGTAAACTTTCCCTGATCATATATTAATGTAACAATGGATCCATAACTTCAAGAGTAAGGCAAAATACAACCTAGTAAAGATAGCAGTTGAAAAATATAGAAAAAGAAACTGCTATAGACTCAGTGCATTCTAGTTTGATTATATTATTTGCATCCAAGAGCATTCCTAACAAATGTAGCTTTTTAAATGTTTATACTTCAATGCTAGCTTTAGCTTGAAGTGTGACAAATATTTTTGGCATTATTTCTTCCTCCTACATAAACGTTCCTTGTTCTTTTTTCATGGTATTAATAGTATGACTAAATTCTAAAACATTCATCAAGTAAAACAGGTAATGATATTGGAAAAAGTATATACAACGTACAACAAATAAATAGTAGTAAAGTTTGTAGGTTTTCATGAGATTTGATTTGATGTTTCACATAAATTAACTTCTTCCTAAATCAGTGTTCCTTAACATCAAGTAAAACAGGTAATGATATTGGAAAAAGTATATACAACGTACAACAAATAAATAGTAGTAAAGTTTGTAGGTTTTCATGAGATTTGATTTGATGTTTCACATAAATTAACTTCTTCCTAAATCAGTGTTCCTTATATTTGTTTATCTAATAGTTGGTTGAGTGGTTACCATTCACTTTTCTTCTATTCCAGAGACACCAGAGTTTCTTCTATTATCATAAAAACAATATCTACTCTTTAAAACAACAGAACACAACTCTGAAGTCAAGTCATATTAGCAATGCAAGAAACACAGTAGTGGGGACTAACAGAGTTTTATAGCAGGACTATTTCTATATTATTATTATTCAAGAAAAAAGTAGTTATCAGTCAACTTATTCTTTATCAGATACCATACCAAGTCCTGGAGATAGAGAAACAAACTAAACACATATGGTTCATTTCTTCATAGAGTTAGAGAGAAGAATGGAGCCATTCTACAGTTCATTGAAAAATAGAGCTACTAACCAAATAAATATAAGTAAATAAGCAAATATTAGTGCATGGAATTTATAAAAATTAAGTACTGGCTGTTTTGGTGTTACATAACAGAACAATCTAATCTATTTGCAAAGCCAGGGAAGACTAAAAAAAATAATTTAGCAGGGTAAAAGTAGAAGGAGAACATTTCAGATAAAGGGAAGAGATTGTTCAAAGGTTGAGAGTGGAATAGAATAGGAAAATCTTTTAAATATTTTTAAAACTAACAAGTCCAACAGAGACTGACTGAGATGCCTAAGAGGCAGTAGCAGAAGTCTGAGACTGAAAATTTACATAGGGCCTGATTAAGAAGAATCACAACAGAAATTTCAGAGTTTACATGAAAGTTCATGGGAATCCCTGGAAAGGTTTTAAGTAAGATTTATATTAAGTCATTCCCATCTTTGATGAGGTTAGGAGATCAGTATTGCAGTATTACAGTTAGGAGGTATTGCAGTGAAGTTATTAAGTTATTAAAGGTAAGCACAGATTTAATTAGGAGGCGATGAAGATAGATAATTTTTAGAAGAAAAAAATCAGTGGAACTTGGTGACAGACAGAATTCATTTCAATTTTAGATATATACAGTTTTATTTTTGCCCATGAAAAATACAAATGGAGAATGGAAATGTCAAGAAAAGAAGTAGACATACTTATCTGGAACTCTAGGAGGAAAAAAGACAAAGCCTGGGTCTGGAAATCACAGACACGTCAGTGGGAGCCAAAGTTTTAGACACACTGGAGAATGGGGTTGGCTGTCAAATGGTTATTTCACTCACAAGGCAAATAACTAAGCACCTATTATATAAACAGTTCTAGCATAAAACTTGAAACTGAGACTGTAGAAGTATGGTATACTCATTACAATTTACATATACATTAAAGAACTGCATTATCAATGTGACCTAAAATATACAAAAAGACAAATATGTGCAAATTAATATGTACTGAAATATATATGACAAAGTAAAAAATCAACTTTTTCTTCTGCTTAGGTAAGACATTTTCGAGTTTTGTTTCAGAAATTATAACTAACAGTGAATCTTAATATGAATGACTAGATTGTTTTTAATGGATCTTACGAAAACTCACTAAAAGGCAAGGTCACTTAAAACTCAAAAGATAAATGTAAATCTTAAAATTACCCTTTCTCTGGGTGCACAGCTATAGATCTTGGTTGATCCAGGCCTTGGGAAATAATCACATAACGGAAAGAGCCATTGAGTCTCGCAACTTCAATTAAGTTGAAACCATGATCTGTCCAATATATGTTACCTAGGAGACATACACACGTTTACTATATAGTTGTGAGAAAGAAATTTTTATTACTTACGGATAAAATCAACTTCCTGAGCATTCACATAACTATCAAGAAACTGTTACTTTTTAAAAACATATTTTTAAGGTGTGCATTTCCCAGAGAGCTGTAAATAAACAAATATGCAAATACTTCCCCATCATACACATCTGTGATTTATACTATATAATGATACATTTACATGTGAAAAATAAGTTAAAACTCCTGTCACCTGAAGAAGGGATCTATTTTAACTTTCTACTGACTTCAGGCAAAAGTGAACTTCTAATACTTTTGTTTACCAGTCTCACAGAGCTCTCAGGAGATTTGGGCAAAGTTAACACTACATAATCTACGTCTACATAAAAACACTTATCCAAAGGCTCAAAGCATTAGAAAGAGTGAAACCCAAAGCAAAAGAGGCTATTTACCCCTGTGGCGAGAGGTACAAAAAAAAATTGTTATGAGTCAGAAACAGAATTTTTATGAAGTAGATTGAGCCCCTAACAAAACTGTCATGAAATGAAAACAGAAAAAGCCAAGGATTATACCGGCAATCCAGTCAACAGCTATCCCCTCCACTCTTCCCAAGCCATTGGGAATGATATCTTCTTTCCAGGTCTGATCTCTTTTAGCTCGGCTAATTTTATTGAAGCCCATGTCTGTCCAGTAGATGGTATCATTTTCTATGGATGAGAAAGAAAGAAAAAAAAATACACACATACACAAAATACATTGATATATGTATTAGGATTACATTGCATCAATATTTTGGGAATTATCATCCTGGGTATGCTAGAGTATTAAGTATTCTTCAGGATAACTTACTACTACAAATAGTAAGAAAGATATTAAAACAATATGAAAGAGCCTAGTCAAATTTTTTACAGTATTTTTGAAATGTACCTTTCACATCCCTTATTTTTCTCTTCATTATCCTACTCATTTCAACTCAATAAATATTATCTCCCATGAATTTGCAATCTTGATATGAAACCAAATTATTTTGAACAATAATTTCTCTCTTCACACCTATCTATATCTGTGTCTGAATCCTCTAAATATAAAGAAAATGCTGCTGGAGATAATCTACTAAATGAAATCTCAAAGTAGAGAGAATGGAAAGAAACAGAAGGCATTTCAACTACATCAAGGCTGTTTTAAGAGTAAAGTCATTCAAAATATATAAAACCTTAAAAATGTCAGCATCCAATTATTCCTTCAGAGGTAGTAGTTTCCTAAATGTCAACTACAAACCCCTTACATTATTTTCAAACTTTCATTATACAAATCAGCTTAAGAATACTTGAATAATGGCTCTATGCTATCATAGAGTCTTTAAATAATAGTGCTTTTTGAATATTTGAATGAAAAATGTTTCTAAAGACTATAAATTAAATATATTATATGTACATGAATATGCATAAAGGGTAGCAATTATAGACCAATGATTTTAAATATAGCCACCAGAGAGACACTGGGGACAAATCATTAAATAATAAATTCACCACCAACTAAGTGAGTTTTTGTGTTGTAACCTATGTGGCCATCTGAAGAACAAATCCTTTAAGACCAATATAATTACCCTCTGGCACAGTGAAAGATTATGGAAATAAAGAAAAAGCAATTAGTATAATAAAGCCATTTATCAGTAAGTTTTGGGATTCCATTTCAAATGAAATATAGTCTGAAGTATTTTATCTATTTGGGGAAAGATTCCAAATAGCGCTGTTTTCAGCAGTGGTTAAGTCAGATACACAATTATTTGAAGCAGAGCAGAGATATCATTTTCAAATATATATCTTTCCAGGGCTTCTTTGATTTTTTAGAATCATGTAAAATTATTGGTTAACATGTTTTCATTACTGAAAAGAATGAGTCAATCAACACAAGTAAGCATATCTGCATAAATATTAAGCATTTTATCCCAAGCCCAGATCTCTTCTACAAACACTAGACACATACCCAACTGCCTACTTTGTATCTCTGCTTGTACTTAGAAGAGGCTTCCTGGAAAACAACAGCCAATTTGGGGATGTCTCTCTGAAACGTGCTTCTCTTGCCGTCCCCCACACAGTAACCCCCATGCGACGATGGTCTGATGGGTGGTACCTCCACCCTTTGTTTCTTGGGCTAAAAACCTTGTATTATCCTTGATCACTTTTTCTCACCGTTTGCATCTATCCATCACCAAATACTTTCATAGTCAATCTATTACTAAGTAGTTTCAGCTGTTTCTATTCTACTTTGAAATCATGTCCATCATCTAACCACCTCTCACACTCTAGTAATAATGTAGTCCCAGCCACCGCTGCCTGTATTGCAACAGCCACCAACCTACTACCCTGCTTCCCCTTTTTCCTCAGCACTCCCCTTTCCTCAGGAGGGTTTTCTCCATGTTTTTATTTTACTATACTTTATTATATAATTACTTTATTATACTCTTTTTTGTTATACTTTTAAAAATATACTTTATTGTTACTCTTTTAAAAAGTAAATAGGATCATTTCTCTCCCCTCCACTCAACTCCCTAATCATTCCAATCTAATCCAAGGAAAATTAGAGTCCCTTCCCATGACCTTCATGACCTACCTGTACCCTGCAACCCTGTCTTACCTGACAGCCTCCCTCTATCCCCCTGACTTACCCACTCTAGGAACACAGACCTTTCTCTTCCTAAAACAAATCAAAGAGTGTTCAGTCTAAAGGTTCTTTACCTTATTTTTTCCTTCTGTCTGGAATGTTCTTTTCCCAGATTTTTGCACAACTCTGTCTTAGTTCAAGTATTCCCCTTCTTGCTGGAACTTTCCCCTGACTACACTATACAAATTATTCCTTTTCCATATGCTATGCCCCTTACCAAACCTATTTTTCTCTATAGCATTTGTTACTGTCAAACCTGTTATATACTTACTGGTGTGTTTTGTTTAGTGTCTGTCTTGTCTCACAGGAATGCAATCTCTTTGAGGGCTGGGACTTCATTTTATTTACTGCTTTATCCCTAGTACCTAGAATAGTACCTGATACATAGTAAGCTCAAAGTAAGTATTTGGTGAAAAAAATGAATGAGTGTGATGTGCTGTACAATGACTGGATGGGAGCAGATATAAGGAAGGCATAGCTGTTACTGTGAGAAAAGTCATAAGCTTGTTAAGGAGCACAAGGTAAACGCATGAAAAAAATGACTACCAATTTGCAATAGTGTAGCATGAGCTGCATGCTAATAGGATAGACAAGTATTTTTGCAGGAGTTCAAAGAAGACATTCACAACAATCTTCACAAATATCAGAGAAAAATGACTTTAAATTTGTATGTGACTCTTACTTCTATGTTACTATTAACTTTGCCAGGTCTGCAGAATGTTATTCCATTCTTTCTAACAAATACCACTACATCTTACACACACCTTTATTATCATACTGAGCTGAAACGGCATCTTTGCATCTCTTCTTAGAAATAGACTTGAGGTGTTTCGTATGTAGGGATTGCAACTGACCTAGCTTTTGCCAATGAATTCACAAGGGTAGTAGGAATTTCATGAATATTTACTTTGTGAATAATAGGTTAATTTGTAGTGCTGAGGCTCTCTCTTAACTGGTCAAGTCCACAAGATCACAACACAAAGGAACTGAGAGGTTTCCTTTTATTCTACTAGGTATATTTAGGAGATTAGTGAGCTACTCAATCATGTGGTGATACAATAGAATCTGGTTGACATCTAAGAGATTTACTTTCATGTTTATGAACTAAGAAAATTGTATAAATTTTGTAGAAAACAGGAAGGAATCTTTGGTAAAAGATCTGGTAGGACTCTCTTAGAGATTATAAATAACTCATTAAGGAAGTCACATTAGATATAAAATACAATGAATTACTTAAGGACAGCTCCAAATTGTGAGTACTAAAATTTACAAATTTGTTCAGCTTAATTTATTTACCCCATTTCTTTATTTCCATCCTATTGGACCCATTATATTTTATCTCATACTTTAAAAATAAAGACAATTATGATCAGTTCCAAAAGTATATGTTAACTTATGGAAATTCTATATATTAAGTGTGTTCTGGTTTCTTGACAAACTTCAGGCTAGGATTTTAGAGGATGCCTTATATATGCCTAACTACTGTCAGTGCACTCTTTATTACCTTATGGAGAAAGCTGTTAGGATTTTATTGTTGGTGGTGTATTTTTAGCTTTTACTATTATATACACATAAGGCTTGGCTGTATGGAATTAACATAAACTCATGATAATGATACTTATACACAACCTGCACTTTAACTGTGATTATTGGACCAAAAAGAATAATTCCTTCACCCTGCCAACCCTCCAACCTCCAACTTTTATCAGCAGTGACCTGAACGGATAGGTCCCAGATGTAACTGTTTCTACATTTACAAAAGCTGATTTAGGGCCATACAACTGATTAATTCCTCTACCTTAGTTAATGGTTTCCAAATGGATTTTCATTCTGAAACTTTGACAGATATGACAACCTCTATTCTCAACTCTATTTTTTTTTTCCGAAGTCATCTTTTTTAATTTTTGGAAAGAAGAGATTTTTTTCATATCACTCCTACACTTTCCAATCATCATGCATCTCAATTTGTTCCTGTTCTGTGTCATTTCAACCCACATAACAGACTCAGTAACTTCCCTTAAATCTACCTATTCTCCACCCAGACTCAATGCACAATTCTTCATACAAACATGGAATAGAAACAGTGCAATAGAATTCATGGAAGAATGGGGTTTCATATGGCTGTTCTCAAATGGCTGCCCATCAGAATTGCCTAGGGAAGTTAAAAAAAAAAAAGAATCCTGAATCCTAAATATGGAAGCAGCCACATCTGAGAGACTTTAAACTGCTTAGTCTGGGGTTGCATCTGGGTTGAGAAGCACTAGTTAACCCATCAAAGGTGCAGATTAAAAGAGAAACACTTATTATTTGACAGGGTCCAATGCTACTCCCACCCTCACCCCCTTTACAATTACATTGCTATTAATGGCTCAGTAGCAAAGGGATTTTCAAGGAGAGAAGAGAAAGAACAGAGCTTGACAGAATATCAGATTTGGAGATTTTCTTTTTCCAGTTGGAGGATGTCTATAATTTGAAAAAAAATAATTAAAAAAAATTTGTTCAGTTGATTGATTTGCCCCTCATCCCAGATCTGTAGAAATCACTGCTCTTCAACCTATGCCTGAATCAAGCCAAATCATAAGGCAGCTCATAGGGAGATTACTTTGGTTTGATCTTTCTCCACTTGCAGTGAGCTGGCTGTGATTGCACTATGTATGGCTCCTGTGCCACAGGTATGCATTCTTTTTTCTTTTGAATTATGCAGACATCATGAGCCCTGAATTTGCTCACATTTCTCTCTGTGCACTACTAATTAGAAATACAAAACTTACACTTACTGCCAACTTCTAGCAAAAATATAGAATTTTACAACATGTATTTTATCTCTGGTTTTATTTTTTCTTCCCTCATTTTTCTCTTAGCACCCATTTCCTCACATCTTAATTGTTTATCTTATTGCAATTCCTACACTTTTGGAAGGTGCATGAAATAATTTTTAGAACGAGATGGTACATATGCATATATACATGTTTTCATTTTTTAAGCATATCAAATCATATGATAACAGAGAAGAGGTATCAAGGTCAAGTATACACCTTGTAGG